CCCCAAAACCCCAAAACCCCAAAACCCCAAAACCCCAATATTTTAAAACTTTATTGAACCAATAAACATCTGATAACCTATAAATCTAAGAATTCTTAAGGTAAAAATTCAATTTATCCAAACTTTGAGTCAAAGAACAGTTCCCAGCATCGGTCAAAAAGTTTATCTTAAGCCCTTTCCATGTAAAATTTTTGTAATTCTTAATAAAAAATTTGCTTTAAAAATGATAAGCTACAATATTTAAAAAAATTAAGCTTCATCTGTACTCTTAGAGGTTGACTTCAATACTTTATACAGCAGTTTAGTAGGAAAATAACCTGCCAGAGAGCAGCAAAATCATATGTTTTAGTCACAAGTTGATTACTGAGCCAAATTGACCGTGTAATACTCCCTTTTAGCAGTGAGATATTCTCAGAAGATTTTCTCTTCCTAATAAATGAAACCTAAATATCCCAGAATTAGGAGTGGGAATTTAAGAGAGGTTAGAGGCCTTAATGTCTCCACTCAGTATAATATTTGGAGAATAGGGAAACCATGATTTTTGTGATAAAAATAATCATTTTTAGGAATAAACTGGAAAGATTTCACCCGAAGTCTAACACTGTGGTCTCTAGTTCTGCTATTCTCCGGAGATTCTCAATTACGTAAGGAAACAAGCCATAAAAACAAGTCTAAAGTGGTATGATGGAGGTTAAAGGTGAAGCTGGGCTTAAGAAGCTAGAGTTCAAGAAAGCATAATGATTACCAATGTCAAGGGTGAGGTTAGAAGCATAAGCTTTAGAATCAAATAGGCGGACTCAAGATTTTATCATGGGCGTTAGATGTGTGCTAAGTTGAGAAAGAAGGAATCTTCTATTAACATTTAATGGCTTTTATTGATACAAGCTTTGCCAATAAATTCCTTTGCATTCACATTCTATTTTGCTTCTTTCTCATCTTCATCAATATCCTGTGTCCAAAGAGTGAGGTTATCTCTTAATAGCTCCATTATAGAAGCTGAATCTCTTTCATCTCTTTCTTCCATTGTATCAAGTTCCATAATAGCTGAATCAAAGGCGCTTTTAGCAAGTTTACAAGCAATTTCAGGAGCCTCAACAATTTCATAATAAAACACAGAATAACTCAAAGCTAGGCCAAGCCTAATATGATGGGTAGGTCTCAAAGATCTTGCCACATCTATTGCTTGTTTATAAGCCTCTTGGGCTTTCTCAATTGATGTCTTGTCATCACTTTCTTTATAAAGTTCAGCTAAGTACCTATAATAATCACCTTTCATTGTGAGGTAGAAAACTGTTGAATCAATTTCAGAAGCTCCAGCTATCAATGTCTCATCAAGGAGAGAAAGAACCTCTTCACAGAGACATCGAACTTCCTTGGCGATTTTATCTTTATAACCAGAAATAAGTCACAAATTTGGTGAAGCTCTCTGTTTCTCTTTATCCTCAATAGCACAGATAGATTTCCAAGCGAGCCTTCTAGGGCCCACAGAGTGCTTATAGGCGACTGAGAAGAGGTTCCTTTCTTCATTGTTAAGCTCTTGATTATTCTCGACCACTAATTTCATCCATTTTGCCATATCTTCATACCTTCCAGCTTGCTCAGCAAGTTTAGCAAAATACATATTGTTCTCTCTTGAAGTCATATTCTGAAATTATAACTCCAAGATATGAGATTTATGGGGTTTTGGGGTTTTGGGGTTTTGGGGTTTTGGGG